ATTCACCTCAAGTGCTGTGTGTACAGAAAACACACCTAAAATCCTCCAATACAAATTTTTACGTGCTTACGTCATATACCGAAAGGACCGAAATGATGCTGTGGCATCATCCGGTGGCGTAGCCATTATTATTAACCAAGGAGTAGCGTGTACACATTTACCACTCCAGACATCCCTTGAGGTGGTGGCATTTCGAGCGGTACTTTTAAACAAACTCGTTACCATCTGCTCTTTGTATGTACCTCCCCACCACCGTCTTGAAAGACGGGAATTTCAGTCTTTAATAGACGAACTGCCTGAACCTTATTTGGTTCTTGTGGACCTAAATCCACATAGTGGACTGTGGGGCGATTCTCGCTGTGATGCGCGAGGTCGTCTCATTAAACAATTTCTCTTCTCTTCCGGTGCCTGTTTGTTGTATAGGAAAGAGCCAACATACTATAACGTTGCCAACAAAACGTACTCGTCTATAGACCTCAGCATCGTATCACATTCACTCCTACCCCTACTTAAATGAAAAATCATAAATAATATATATGGAAGTGACCATTTTCCTGTAGTGTTGAGTTCACAAACAACATATCAATTTCCTCTACATGTTCCCAAATGGTTGATAAACAAAGCAGACTGGGAACAGTTCCATAACACTACACGTTTGAGTTGGACAGACATATGTAGGTTAAACATAGATGAAGCTGTGCAGTACTTCACAGCTTTTCTAACTGACGCAGCAGCCAAGTGCATACCGCAAACATCTGGAATGCCCGGCAAACGACACGTCCCATGGTGGAACACAGAGTGTCGTAATGGGCGAAAGGAACATAACATGGCATGGAGGTTGCTTCGGAACTCACAAACAGCCAAAAATCTTGATACCTTCAAGAAAATAGTCTCAAAGCAGGAGAACGCGTTGGCAGGCCAGAAGAGAAAGCTGGCAGAAGTTTTTGTCAGGGAGCGATTCCTACACACAGGAGGCTAAAGTCTGGAACATGGTCGGTAGGATAGCAGGAAAACAAGTACACACACTTCCACTCGTAAACACTCAGGGTGATACCTTGGAAGATCAGGCAAACTTCCTCGGTGCACACTTTGAACGGGTATCCAGCTCGTACCACTAGACTGACACTTTCCAAAAATACAGAACAAGAATAGAAAAGCAGAAACTAGAACACAAATCCACTAGATACGAGGCATATAACCAAGCTTTCAGTCTAGCTGAGCTCCGAACATCTCTATACTCCTGCAGTACTTCTGCCCCAGGTTCTGACCGTGTGGTGTATGAGATGTTAAAAAACCTACCAGCCGAAACACGAAAAACCTTACTTTGTACAATGCTATCTGGTTTTTTGGCACTATCTCTACCTCCTGGAAAGATGCTATTATTATTCCCATTTTGAAAGAGGGCAAGGACCCTTCTTTAGCTTCAAGTCATAGGCCTATTGCACTTACAAGCTGCTTGTGCAAAGTCTTCGAAAAAATGATAAACTGCCGACTTGTACATATCCTTGAAACAAACAATTTGCTCGACCCTTTTCAGTGCGGGTTTCGAGAAAGTAGATCCACCACAGACCACCTTGTTCGTATTGAGGCACAGATCAGAGACGCCTTCGCCCATAAACAATATTTTCTCTCTGTGTTCTTCGATATCGAAAAGGCTTATGATACAACATGGCGTTTTGGAATTCTAAGAGACCTGTCCCACCTTGGTGTGCGCGGAAGAATGTTTCATATAATCGAATGTTACCTGTCAAACCGGAAATTCCGTGTCCGTGTGGGCAGTGTTCTCTCCCAAACATTTGTCCAGGAAACAGGCGTGCCACAAGGTGGTGTGCTTAGCTGGACACTTTTCATTATCAAAATAAATTATTTGCACTTGTCTATCCCCCGCAATATGTTCTATTGCACATATGTCGACGACGTTCAGCTTGGCTTCAAGTCGTGCAACTTGGCAATGTGTGAGCGGCAGGTTCAGCTGGGTTTAAACAAGGTCTCCAAATGGGCAGATGAAAACGGATTTCGACTTAACCCACAAAAAAAGCACGTGTGTCTTGTTCTCTCGAAAGAGAGGCATGCACTCGTAACCTGACACTCGACTGAACGGGCAACGTCTGTCCGTCAAAGCCGAGCATAAATTCTTAGGCTTAATCTTGGACAACAAGTTGACCTTCGTACCGCACATCAAGTATTTAAAAACAAAATGTTTAAAAGCCATGAATGTTATAAAAGTGTTGTCACGTACTACTTGGGATAGTGAAAGGCAATGCCTCATAAATCTGTATCGAAGCCTCATTCGCACCCGCTTAGATTATGGGGCCGTTGTTTATCAGTCTGCAACTCAAAGTGCTTTGAAGATGCTGGACCCCGTGCACCATTTGGGCATCCACTTTTCTACTGGTGCTTTTCGCACCAGCCCCGTAGAAAGCCTTCATGTTGAGTCAAATGAGTGGTCGCTTCATCTGCAGAGAACTTATATGTCCTTTGTTTATTCCCTTAAGGTGAAAGCAGATAAGAAACACCCCTCATACTCTATTATTAATAATTTGTCGAACTCATTTCTGTTTCAAAACAGGCCTTCGATGAGGCAGCCCTTCTCAGTTCACCTGAAAAGTCTAGCTGAGGAAACTGGAGTCTCACTTGAACACAGTTTAATGGCTCCTGTAGCATATCCCATACCGTGGCAATGGCAGACTATAGACTGCGATGTGTCCTTTCTAGAAGTTACAAAACATGCGCCTATTGCCCATATCCGAACATACTTCCTGGAACTTCAACACAAATGCACACGTCCTGAGTTCTTTACAGATGCCTCCAAGTCCAACTCCTCTGTGTCCTACGCTGCTGTCGGCCCATCCTTTTCGGATGCTGGCCCTCTACATCCAGGCACAAGTATCTTCACAGCGGAAGCTTACGTGATACTTGTGGCAGCTAAACACATCTAACAATTAAAAATACAAAAAGCAGTAATTTATACAGACTCCCTCAGTGTGGTAACGGCTCTGCACAGTCTTAAAAAACAAAAAAAACCCCGGTCCTTGTCTCTCTTTACTCCATTTTGTGCACACTCTACACACTCAAACAACATGTTGTAGTGTACTGGTCGCCAGGGCACCGTGAGATCCAAGGCAACGTGAGGGCGAATCAGCTCACTGCATCCGTCCACAAAAGCACTGCCCCTACACCCATAATAATCCCGGCCCTTGATCCTAAGCCGTCTCTCAAACTGAACCTCAGGGAGTACTGGCAGAGCAAGTGGGATACACACACACAAAACAAACTACATATTATTAAGCCACACCTTGGTCATTGGCTGCCAGTATCTTAGTCGCGTCATACAGAGGTAATACTAATGAGACTCAGGATAGGACACACATACACGACACACACATATCTTTTCTCCGGTGGCGATCCATCATTGTGTGATAGATGTGGTGGAGCATTAACAGTCCTTCACATGTTAATTCAGTGCAAACACTTAGAAACTCTAAGAAAACAGCATTTTCCATTACCCTACCGACAACATATACCTTTACACCCTGCAATGTTCGTCGGTAGGGAACCGCTTTTTAGTTATAAATCATTGTTAGCGTTTTTAAAAGAAATTCATAATTTTCATATCATATACCCGGGCATTCCGTAGCACGACCTCTCCAGAGAGGTTTTTGCTGCGGTGGCTACACAGGAAAGCACTTGCCTCACCGCCCTTGGACGCAAGGGTATGAACGAGTGAGCTACTTGTGCTAATGCCATAGATGTCCACCATCGTTTTTATTTTCACCAACTTTTGTCTTCTATTCGCACCACACACACCTTTCACGGCATGGTCATGATTTTATTACTTGTATGTTTTTACCCGCCTTACCGCGAGAAATTTTGTTGCCCTTATACAGCCGCTAATCACAATCATTGTCCACATTCCTTGTCCCATGAACTGGCGCTCTTTGGCCATCAAATGGCCCTTGCGCCAAAAAACACCATATATCATCATCATCATCTTTTGATGGCTGATAATAGGCAAGTGACATGTGACACGGCAAATCTACCGCATGCAGTGTTCAAAAGTTCCCCTTGCATGATGAGCGTTCACACAAGTTCAGGTCGTTATGCATGAGCATATCATCAGATCCTAATGATGAAGCGAGAAAAATAGAGAGAGAGAGATGCAAGAAAAAGCATAAAGGTAAAATAGGTTTAGGGTTTAGGGCACGTGAAAAGGACAAAATTGCCGTTTATGTACTGTTTAACTGAAGTTCAAGAAATTTTGTTGAAAGTTAAATTCTAAATATGGCGGGAAGATGTTCATTAAAAAGAAGTAACTTCGTCTGCATTACCGTCAATGTTCTCAGTAAAGGTGGCGAAAATCAGAATCACGCACACCGTGGCGTGGTTACAGCACACGTTTCCTGTTCCGCTCTGACATATTGCGCACTTGATCTGGAATACCTTCCTTTTTTATTCATTACCAAGCCGTTGTTCGCCCTAGCATTACAAATCCTGCCGCTGGTTGAAAATATGGCTCATCGACAATCGACACTCTTACAAGAGCCATGCGCGCCTCTTCTCAACTGTCTTTACTTGGTACAGCGTCTCAGATCATTTGGCTTGCACCCATTAAGCTATTCAGTCGATTAAAAGTGAGAGCCCGGGACCGATCGAGCCCGAATGCACTCGCGTTGAAAGCAGGATAAGCTGTTGTGTGGCTGAGCTTGTACTACAAACTGAAAAGTACGATAGAGTCGTCGTAACCGCACGGGACACTCGCAAGAGTGAGCTGTTCGAATTATCTTCGCTGACTTGGCGACGACATGCCGGGAATCAGCGACGTTGGCTACCGGTGCCAACACAGCGCGGCACGTGATGCCTCCCGCGAATGAATGCTTTTGTGCATCAGCGCTTAGCCGTTTATGTTATCCTCTCTCGAAAACACTGCCGCGGCACTCGCGAAGGAATCGAGTGGAGCCGCCGATCTCTGTTGTCAAAGTCTGACCTGATAGCGACGCCTCGTCGGCGAACTCGGCTGTGGAAGGCGTTTTGTTGCGGCTTGCGCGTTGTTGCGGTCGCCGCCCCTTGCGACAGCCGCTTCCCAGTCATATCGGCGGCACGCTGCCAGGAGTCGTCTGCTGGAGGCCGTTCGCGTGGCTGCTTCGAATCCGTTGAGTGTACTGTGCTGCGGCTGCCGACTCGATTCGTAGTCGGGTGAGACGTCTGATTTGTGAGCTGGAGAAGTCGCGTGCTTTCTGAGTTTCGGACACTGAAAGTGCGCTCTTGTATTGTACACATGATGGAATAAGGACGCACTTGACAAACTGGTAAGTGTCTCGTTTGAAGCCGAAGCGAGCGTGCCGATGTGAGCTCGTGAGGCGTTTGCACGAGTTCATAGTCATCTAGTTCGGACATTGGCGTTGTTACAAAAAACGAAGCACTCTTTGCTGTTAATAAAGATATTTTACGTTTACATTGACTTCCCATGCGATTCCCTATACGATCAAGTGAAAGCTAGGGAGAACGAATTCAAGTTTGTGTGTTCACGATTGCTTTAACCAAAAGTGCTGGATACTTAAACTTCGCCTTTAGGAGTGTAGCCCGATAGCGATATCCTGTCCCTAGTGCGTGCTTCAATCATTTTGTGCGTACTTTTCATTAAAAGATGTATCTCAAAAAGTTTAGATTGTAGATTACTACAATGTAATCGATAAAGTTGCAAGTGGCTTGTGTCAGTGAAACTTTCGAATATGCCTGCATTTTATGTAATAGGTAGCATGTTTTAAAACACGAGCAATTAGCCCGTGAATTTTCTTCTTATTTGCTATGCACTTCATCACAAGGTCATGAGAAAATTCACGCAGTAAAGTGTTTGGCTTTTGTAATTGGTGGTCGGCTTTGAACCACAAAGTGGTCATGATAATCACATGCGCTCGATGGCAATGTGCGCCTATAATAAGCAATATTGATATGATATTAAATGTATTGTGAAGCCTCTATACAGGGCGCACGTGTTTGTAAGATATAAACGCTATTTTTACTGCATTTCCAAGCAGAGGAAATATTTTTACTTTTTCCAGGCAGATGCGTCGTTGTCTGGTAGAAAACCTGCTTGCCACGCAAACGGCCTGGGTTCACTCTTCACGCGGACCCAAAAATTTTAATTTTGTATTTTACTTGCATCTTTCTCGATTTTTTTGGTCATGACCAAGATTATTTTTCCCTGACAACCAATGACGCCGACGCAGACAACACCGCCAGAATTTCAGCGAAGCGAGCTGTTTATCGCTATCGTGGTAAAATAAGCAATCCCATCCCAAACACCGTTCGCAGCGGGGCAGTTTTAAAAGCACAGCATGAGAGAAATACACATACGATTAAAGAAGTCACTTTCTCACTTACTATATACGCGTAGCACACGAGTAATGCCTGCGACTCATTCTTCAGGGGGCACCAAGAGGCGCGGCTACTCGCGATGCCAACTGAGCGCTCACCATCTAGCGGCCTCGCCTAGCGCTAACAGGGTCTACCTTGAAAGGAGATACGTTACCACGTCACGTTGTTTAGCGGCCGCGTAGTTCTTTCACTTTCGCCGTGCCGCAATGCGTGGGATCGCGGTGAAAAGAACGCATCGTTCTATCACTCCCCGAAGGATGGTGACGACGCGCGTCAGAAAACGGCGTTGATCACAAACTTGCGCACAGGAAAGAAGGTGGTTGTTTTGATCAATTCACTCGTGACGACTTCATTCTTCCCGGTGAGCACACTCGTATTTAGCGAGTGTGCATTTTTGTCAATATTCGGGCTTCTCTATGCGCGGAGTATAGTTTCGTTTATATAAGCAAGCACTTAAGGAAATAATTGCGTTGTGTGCGTGGGTGTATTTTTAGCGCTTGATGAATTCATACCAACTGGCCCGATACAATTGTTTATTACTATTAGCCTTCTCAAAATACGCTCACCTTGGCATATAGTTCCATTTTGTAATGAAGTAAAATGCATGTGTATTCAGCTTTTTACGGGGCAACTAAGGGATTCATGCAATGGGCAGCGCAAGATCCAGCGCAGAGTTACTTCACGAAGTGTTAAGGCCTGGCCTGTAGCAGTGCAGCAGAGTTGCGCACAAATGCTTGCACCTTTCAGAGAGGCCCACTACACATCTGCAGCTGCCTTTTTCAACATCAATCTCGCTGGACAGGCTCTTCCACTTGATGTAAATCTGATGCGGTTCGCCAAAGAGGCTTGATGTGTGGACGTACAGCGCAACTATTACCGCTGTTTCACCAGTGAAATTCTTTCTCCCGATGAGTATGGGGCAGCCCGCGGTCAGCACCTTTTCGACTTCGACGAAGAAACGCAATCCGACGCCGCAGTCAAGAAACTTCAACACAACGCCAAGCGAAAGTGCTGCGTTGACCCTGTTAATTAAGTGTGGCCATCTGTTTTTTCGACTAGTGTTGCCAACACACGGAACGTTTTTTGGACGTGCAAGTACGTAAGCTGGACACAACTACATGCTTACGCCATGTCTTTACAGAAGCCAGCCTAACGTAAATAGGTAACGCAGAGAGAATTAACTACTTAAAGCGGCTTATCGCGCAGAGAGTTCGGTGACGGTTTTATTGCGGACGATGTGTGCACATTAGCATATATATATATATATATATATATATATATATTATATATATATATATATATATATATATATATATATATTATATATATATATATATATATATATATATTATATATATATATATATATATATATATATATATATATATATATATATATATATATATATATATATATATAGATAAAAAAGTGTATACCTAAGCGCTCGTTTTTCCGTGTTTTTGACACAATATTAATGAGATATAACAGACAATATTGCCAAGAAAAGTATGGGGGAAGTTATAGTTATTAGACCCAATTTATTGTAAATGTGAAGAAAGAAAAGTGTGTGAAATGATAATTTGCTGGGGGCAAAATCCTAACCTGTGACGTTTGAATATATATATATATATATATATATATATATATATATTATACAGAGAGAGAGAGAAAGGAAGAGTGAAGCGCGCACCTCACTCGACCTTTCGCTGGCTGATGAATGCGTAAGTAAATAATGGTTACGGTGGAAATCTCCATCTTGTGATTAATTTGTGCCATTAGAATTTCTACACCGTGTACTCTCGTCGCAAAAAATGCATTCACATTTCTTCACCGTTCTCTTCGGGTACTCTCCGACTGCTACAAACAAACACTTACCCGAGCCCTGCGGCACTGCACACAATGTACCCTGAACGGTTTCCAAGCCCGGACTGCCCCCTGTGTGGTGGTTATGCGGACTTCGAGCATGTACTGTGGGGCTGCGCCTCTGCCGGTCCCCCTTTCACCCAAGAGGAAATGAAGCGACTCATTAAGGCCCAGGACCAGACCTCTCAAATCCTGGCCGTCCAGAGGGCCCGCGCGAGGGCCGTCAGGTTTAACCTGATGGTCCCCGAGTGGGCCTAGCCAGGTGACGCTGAGTTTACTCGCGTCTATTGTGGACCGAATAAAGTTGTTTCACTCACTCACTCTCTTCGGGGAGGTGGGTTCAATTTTTTTATTGTGATCAACTGGCCAAAACATACACTTGGTATCGCTATAATCGTATGCCACAGTTGCATGCAGCGGGGCTTTCTTGACTGTTTTCGGATGTCATGATCAGAGTGCACACACGACGTGTGTAATGGAGTGCTTTTTAATTGCTACGCAAGCATCAACGTATGCACATGCTCAGATGATTGTCATCTACCAGTGCCCATTGTATTACTTTAAGCAGGGGCATTCATCACATCCACAGGTTTTCCTTCTCACTTTAATTCAAGTGCCAGCTTAAATAATCTGCACGCCATTGAAATAATTTGAGTGCCGAGCTATTTAATCGTTGTGTCGAAAATTATTCCAAGCGCCAACAAATTTAATCAAAGCGCCAACTGACTCAGGCCGCGTGCCATTGAGCTTAATAAAAGTGCCACCGTGTTCAATCCAACTGCCAATGAATTTATTTCAGGTACCAGCCAGTTTATTCCACGCACAAAAACCAGAATACTGGGTATGAAAATGGCAGTGCAATGTAAATGTAGTTCCCACAGTATAAAAGACAATAGTCGAAAGGTGGAATAAATTATCATTTATTTTATTCGTCGATAGTATTCGTGAAAAAAATATTACTGCCGTGGTTTGCTTCAGCCGTGTTTGGAATGCTTATACTTTGCTATGCGCAAGTTTGTATAATGAGTGCTTCGCCCAGGTGAACTAATTTCAATGAAACAACATACGATTCATATCACGTGACATGAACCGTATGATATCACGGCTTTGGCAAACACTACATTGCATGACCAAAACAGGTCATGTAATGCAAAGGACGCACTATGTTTATTGGAGTGCCGGAATGCATACCAAGATATCGAAAACCTGGCCGTGGGCAGTGATGGGTCAATGGCAGCTGCTTAATCAAGAAATCTAGAGGCCGTCGTGCGGCACTGTGAATTAGAGATAATACCAATAAGTTTTTGTCCTGCAGTGCACATAAAACGTAAAAATGATCAACCTGATGTGGCAACGGAAGTTTCATCTTACAATACTGTTAACTCTTATCTTTTTATTTAAACAAAATTAAATGTCTCCAATGATACGAACAGTACTGACTGTATGTTTAGCTTGGTAGTTTTGTGACGTACTTGATCAAATGCGATGAAACTAACACAGAAGAAACAAAACGATAATAACATGCAATTGACCTTCTCTCATCGCACATTGGAAGCTTGCGGATGCAGTGCAATCACTAAATTATTTGTTTATTCTTTCTCTCTCAATATATATATATATATATATATATATATATATATATATATATATATATATATATATATATATATATATATATATATATATATATATATATATATATATATATTATAAGGAAAACAAGAGTGCTCACTACTAATTATTCAAGAAATGCAACGTAGGCACAGGTGAGTGTATACATTAAAACAGAACTGTCTCATAGTGCTCAGAGACGGACGTTCACAAGTCATCTTCACGCAAAGTGGCAGACACGAAAGAGGAAATTGTGCCGATTAAAGGCAGCGCAGTCCATGCGCTGTATATGTTGCATGTAGTGGCGAGCCGCATCCAGCAGCAAAGAACCCCTGTGCTCCTTCGTCGTCATGCCTTGCGGTGTCACTAAAACTAAATTACGACGTTCGCTCAGGTAGGCCTTCACGTGTGACTTCAATTTGGAGAAGGCTTCTTTTAGAGGGTTAAAGAAGGGACT